TAAAATGACGTGAAGAAAAAATATTAGATAAAAAAATTGACTGTATTTTAAACTGACAAACTGTAACGTTTTATGTGATATTATGCAATCCCTTGCGTAGATCTTTATGTACATGTAGCAAAATCCTAAAATTTTATTCATGAACTTATTTGATAATTTGCGATGTATTTATTAAACATGAATTAAAAAGAAAGAATTGTTCAGAAAATACTTAACCTATACCGTTAGAAGAATGATTTCTCAATATTCCGACCATGTTTGGTATATTTTAATTTAAGTCAAAATCTATTATCTATAATTTATTTTAATTATATATTTAATGGAATCCACAACTTTTCTATTACACATCTTATTAATTTTTATCAAAATTTACTAAAATTTTGATTTTAATCCTCGCCAAGTAGGGGCTTAATATTTAATCGTCAAATCTCCGACCTTTAATATCTTATAGTCTGTTTGAGCTTCATTTTTTTTTGTGTAGAATGTATTTTGGAATATTAAATTGATGAAGAATGCACAGCTAAAAATAAAGAAAAAAATTTTAGGCAGCGTGTAATGTTATTTTATTGAATAATGTGTGATTGAAAATAGGAAAGAAAAAAATATATTTTAAAAAAATAGGGATCAAACAAGGGCTTGATTAATAGACTTAACTTTAAGGACTTATTAATTATAGTTTTGTTAAAAGGGTCATTATGTACCTGTCCTCAATTTAAACATAAATAACAAAGAAAAGAATAACACGAAAATATAGTGGTTATATTGATATCACAATTTTTTTTATGCACTATTTTTCCATTGCATTAAATGTTGTTAACCCTTATTTATGGTCGCATTTATAAAAAAAGGTTGAACTCCAACTTTGAGGGCCCCCAACGCCCCTCCCCTAGAGCATTGTGGAGGAGGTAAATCGCGGGATGTATCTCAACAGACCAGGGTATAAGAACTGTCATATTGGTGCCCACAAAGAGTCCAATTCCTTGCCTCGGAAGATGTAGGAATCGAACCTTCACACTTCGACTGCCAGCTCAACTGTTCTTGGCCGCATTTATAACTCAATTTTTTCGTCACGTATTTATCTCCAACCTTTCTCTCATTTGTATATCTTTTCATTGGTAGTAATCTTCGTCCAAAAAGTTAGTTAGAAGGACATAAAAAGACTTATTCGCAAATCATAATAAATCAACAAAAAAAAAAATAACAAATATAAAGTTTGATATAATGTTTTCCTTTCATTTCAACGTATGCCAACAGAATGTTTGGACATAATCCAACATCAAGGATCATATGTGCGAATTAATAGAAGATTGATCATAAGACCGCGTCAAAAAGTTAAAGAACATAAACGTGACAATAAGAAAATATTACAAACCTTTAATGCAATTAAGGTGTGATGTACCAAAAAAATTGTTTAAGCATTATAATTACCAAAATTAATATCTCTACCACGACCACCCGTCCCTCGCTCTAAACTTACATTGTACACGTCATTTTAACCTCAGTTCGAATAAATATCGTCTACAGGGGCAAAAAAGCCAGTTAGTGGAATTCGTCACATTGACTTGTGAACATTAGCCGCTCTACTACAACAATATATGTTGATGTGCCCATTACACCCCTTGCAAACTCATATTTCATTTTGAAAACACGTTTTCTTCTTCTATTTTTTCTCGAATCTCCTTTGAAGATTTGGATTCCATGAATTAAAAGTCAGAAACTCATTTGTGCAAAATGCATAAATTGGATACCTCCTACTGCAATTTTGCCTGAAATTTATGAGTAAAATATATATTTTTTAAAAAATAATTCAAAATGAGTGAAAAATGCACACGTAAAAGAAGGATTTGAATTATGATGATGTTCATAATGAGTCATAATGAATTACCCACCAAAGCCAAAGTGTCTCTCTTCCCCATAACGAGTTATAATTACCCCTAACTCTCCATTCCCTTGCTTTTGACTAAATTCAATCCTCTCTTACCTAAACTTTATTACTTCTTAACTAAACTACCTATTTTTCATCATGATTTTTCCCTTTACCAAAAATGCCCCCTTCCTTGATTAAATATTTATTTATTTGCTTAAGGAAAATGCCATTCTATTCTCTTTTTATTTATTTATTTTCTTAAGAAAAAATACACAGTTATTTTATTGTTAGAGCCTCAATTTCTTGTTACCTTTTCAAAAAATAAATAAAAAATAAATATATACTTCGTCTACTTCGAACAGTTCCAATTGAAAGACGAAGTTCTTACTCTTTCGATCACAGGTAGGAAATGTGGAAATGATTTATTTGTATTCTTCACTTGATAAGTAGAACCCATTTGACCAAAGTTGATATGGATTTGGCCACTTCGGTTCAATAAATATAGAATAGAAAAAGCACAATTTACATTAATAAAACTTTTAAACTATTAATTCAAAAATAAAAATTATTTTTTCACTATGTTTACAATGAGAAGTCTTGTAGTTCCTTATCTCTTTGAATTAATTTCTTATACCCTTTCCATTCCTTAGACATGTAAATTGATGTCACATATTTTGTCTTACTCAATAAGTGACTTTCTAGCTACTTTTAAAATTATTAGTCGTGCTTAAAAGTGATATATATTGTTGAGAAAAATAGTTAAACACGATTGAATATATTGATGGCTAGTTGGAACTAGACGACAAATTTATAAAATTTCATTTCCGCAGTCTTTATTTATTTATTGGTGAACCCTTTTTTCTCATCATTTTTCTTGCACAAGACTCCTAATTGAACAACATAATGTTAGGTTTAGGAGGTCACGAATGGAATATGTTACCCACTCTTGAGTAATGACTATGCAAGCTAGTAATATGTTTAATTGGATAAAAGTTAGGCTTTGAACTGAGTTTATAGCGTCTTAACTTAATTTTTATTCGACTCCACCTTGTTTCTAGCATTCTCATTTGAGACTGGATTGAAACTCTTACCAAAGATTAATTCTAATTGGGCAATTTTGATCAGTACTCTAAAAAGCTCGCCTAAATTCGAATCTCAGACAAAATATCTTGCTTCGCGCTTAAAGCTTTTTTTTTTTTCCAATTACTAAACAGTTGATTTTTTTTGTTCATCTTTTTTATCTTCTTTAGGAGCATTTTATTAGTTTTTTTTTTTTACTTCATCTTATTATTATCTTTTATTCTTAAAAAAATTTCATTTGATTTTAATTTCAAGTTTTAAAATTTTTTATTTGTACAAAAGTTAAAATTTTTTTTTTTATCTAAATAGTTAAATAAGAGGGTGTGTTTGATGAATATTATTTTGGAAGAATGTATTTTGGAATAGTAGATTGATGGAGAATGTGTGGTTGAAAAAGAAGGAAAAGTTATTGATGTGATGGAAAATATTATTTTATTGAAGAATGTGTGGTTGAAAATGAATAAAAGAATGAGAATGAAAATTTTAATGTATGTCAGCTTAATGTCAAATTTAAACTAAATTCAAATTTCACTCTAATCGAGGGAGTTGGTTGGACTCCAATTCTAGAATACTTGTTTTGATTTTAATTCTATTGAATGCTACCTAAATGTCTAGACCTTGTGGAAAGTAGATGTTTGGAGTGATTATTGAAAAATAACAGTGATGCGTTGTTGGTAGAGGTTGGTGGTTGGGTGGGTGGGTGGAGGGTTTCAGGGTGCCCAACTATTTCTTAACTTGAGTGGCATCTCATACACCTTACATAGAATTGGCACGAATTTGCTTTACACCCAAGCAAATGAAGAGTTGCATTATGTCTTTCATGAACCTTCTTCTATTAAGCACTATTATTACAACCTTTTGTATAAGCATCCATTGAAGAACCTCCATTTCTTAGTTCAATCTTATTGGACAAATAATTTGATTCTTCTTTTCTTGATTCAATATTATATGGACAAAATTTGATATCATCGATGAACAAGATCAAACGATAAATAAGAATATAGTAAGCAGAAGGTAAACTTATCGAATAAAATTAAAATTATGAATACAGATCTCTTTAACGAGACTTTTCATGAAAAAAAATCAAAATTTATCGAGGAACCCTACAAAATTCGTTTGCTATTTTTATGTGATAGTGTTAAAACTTCATCTAAGGGGGCATCTGAGCCCCATTATTTTTTCAAAAATGTATTTTGAAATAATAAATTGATGGAGAATTTATGATCAATAGATTTTTTAAATTTGCGTGTAATATTATTTTAAGGGTTGTGCTACTTGTACATTATGGCATCCATAATGAATGACATAATGTACAAATGGCAGTACATTATTGGAGGGTGTGCTGGCCCACCAGCACACCCTCCAATAGGATAATTCCATTTGTACATTATGTCATTCATTATGAATGCCATAATGTGATTGAAAAGATAACAGAGATAAAAACGTATTTTGGAAAAAATGAGAATCAAGCATCCCCTAAGTTCGAAAGCTATTGAAAGGTCTATCAGATCACAAATTGTTGAAAAACAATAAGATCTATCTTTCAACCCTTATAAAAGATTGAAAAATAAAGAAATAATTAATATATTCAAAATAACTACGTACTTAAATATTGTCTCAATTCATCTTATTTCATCCATTCATGTTCCAATTCGATGAATGGATGAAGTAATATAAATTTACACAATAATTTTCTTTTCCTTTTTTTTTTTAAAGAATCACCACACTCCTCTCTTGTACCAAAAACAATTCGCTTTTTACAATTAATAAATTATACAAAATTTAAAAATAAAAAATGAAGAGGGGTAGTTTGGGAAAAGAACTGGCACAAATGTTTGCGTACACGGTCAATATTACTCGCAATCAATTATGGGCCTGGGCCCTGGTGACGTGTATACCTGAGACTAATAACAGAAGGCCCAATACAGACTCCCACAGATACGTACAACATATACATATAGAGAGAGATGTTATAGAGAAAGAAAGTGAAGGCGTGGGGAGGCGGGGGAGAGATAGGTAGCTATGGCGTAATGGAATGATGGAAGGTTTGGCGATGTTGAGGCAACTAATCGGACAAGTACAAGAGTTTTTGGAACTCTACGGTTCTCCTCCTACGGTTCCTCCTAATTACTTCCTTCAGTTTCGACCTGAGTCCACACCTCAGCACCACCTCAGGTCCTTCTCTCTATAATTTGTTTTAGTTTATGGATTTGAGCGAGTTTGTGTGCTCGAAATTGAGGATACTGAATTTGAAAATGCTATTTTTATTTTTTTTAACAATCAAACTTGTTTTAATCGCCCGTGTTTGACTGTATTTGCATGTTTTAATTTTCCGATTTTGTTTTTGTTTTTATTTTTTTGAGGGAAATTTCGTTCTTTCTGTGTATGTTGGTGTGTGATATGGATTTTGATAGTATATCCTAATTTTGATGGGTATGAATTTATAGCGCCTGTTGCCATTTTGTGGTGATGGAGCTTCAGGTCATACTGCTAGACTAGTCCATTTTTTGTATTATTATGTTAAAATCTTGTTGTGTGGCCTTTACTTAATTTTGTCCATCAATGTTTCTGCGAATTTTAGTGAACTCCATTGCTTAATTGGCTATAGCTCTTTCCTTGTACAACCCAAATTCCCATACAAGACGATGGCTCAATGAAGATGAATAGTTTATATCTGAGACTAAATATCAATAATTCCCCACCCCACCCACAAAATCTCTCTGGTATTTTAGTTGAACGGGCTCTTTGCTTTATTTTGCAAGAACATGGTCTGCTTGTATCACCCCGTCTCTTAAAAGCTAAAAGCACCTTTTCTTACTTCTTTTCAAGCTATCCAGATTCATAGACATTTTTTTTTCTTTTTTCCTTTTTTCATTTTCCCTTTCCTTGTGTTACACAATTTAGTTTAGTTTGCCTTTTGCAATGTTTAATGAGAAATGTAATCTCCCTGTAACACTCTGTGCCATGAAAATTAATCTAAAACCACTACTTTTTAATCTATTGTCTGGCTTATGGAGTCCCTGAAATTGTATTAGATTTATAATTTGATTGTCTTGCTAAATGCATTTATCCTGACCTTAATCAGCTGGAAAATGTATATGTCCTTTTGTCTACACGCACACCTCTTAGCACCCATAATCTTTATATTTGATGCAAGGCATTTAAATCACTTTACCATATATACAATGCAAGTCTTGCGCATTTGGTTGGATCTATATTCTTGCTAGAATTGTTCCATATAAGATGAAGCTCCTATAGGTAATCCGTTGGTTTTTTTTCATGCCCAGTACGTGCATCTTCATACTTTTATTTGAGCTTCACATTTTTTAAGCAAGAAATAGGTCATAAAGTCATAATTCGTCCTACGAATTATGGATATTCCAAGACTAAAAAACTTATTTGGTTATTGTGTCTAAATTGCAAATAGGGTTTTGGTATCATGCACTTGTGAGGAAATTATTCTCCATCCAGTTATTAATTGTACTTGATCGCTCATAAAATGAAAGAAGCAAAATATATGGATTTATCAAATTAGTCATTTCAGGGTCTTTGAGTTTGAATTGTATTTTGTCCTTCAACTTCTGGCCTCGGCGGTGTTTTGGAGGATAGACGTATTCGAACTCCTCCACATGCTTATGCATTTGTTTAGCGGGACCATAGTTTGTGAAATTGTATGCTTGGTTCTGGTGTATAAATTATATGATTATTTGAAGTCAAGATTGGGGTTGGTGTAAGGAATGGAAAGCAGAAATGGGTAAACATTTATTTATTTTGCATTAACTTGCCACAGTATACCAGGATAATTCCTCTTTCCCCACTGATGATTTTGTAGTCATTGAAGTGTTTGAAGTTTTAGAGTGCAATGATTTTTTATTTTATCTTTTGAGAAGCATAACGATTTCTTTATTTGGGCTCGGAAATGGTACGTTAAAAAGGAATGGATTTCAGGGTTTTTAATTTGAACTGTCTTAACATTTAGGAATATTCTTTGCATTCGTGCCTGCATCTTTTAGTCTCAGAATTCTTTCAGAGACTCAATATTTTATTTACACAGAGGGTGAAGAAATGCCTGTAATGAGGAAGTATTTCGGTAAGAATGATGTGGGCTTCATCATCTGAAGTGAATAAGTAATGCCAAAATTTTTTTGCTACATTTTTGTATGTTTTACCATCATTTGACCGACTCCATCCTTACTCAGAACGTAAGCAGAGTATGAATATGGTAATGAACTATGAAGCATGGAAACCTTTACTAGGACAGCCTGTTAGTGTCTACACGTGTCGTCGTGTCAAAATCGACATTCCTCAAACACTCTAGGACACGTATCTAACAACCCACGTGCTTTGTCCTTTTATTTATTTTTTAAAATATTAATGCACGGGATACTTAAGGGACACTCCTCGGGCAACTGTTCGACATTCCATGTGCCATGTTCTTTAATAAAAAGTTTAAAAATAGAGATTTAATATATAAATGTAATTTTTTTTAAGAGATCAAATTGACTGTGTCCCCAATGTGTCCTACTTTTTTTTTTATTTAAAAAAAAAATTATGTGTCGGTGTGTCTGTTCTTCTTAGGTAACGGATTTTATCCAACTGAAAGGTCTTTTTATCAAGCCAGAGACCATTTAGATTCCATCACTCCCCCCTCCAGGCAGCCCTAAGCTTGATAAGGTATATATTCCACCTGTCCTATGCTACTTGGTTCTGAGCTAAAAGCTCTTCCATGAATAGATGTGAAAATGGATCTCCTCTAATTTGTTTTTGTAATAAATTATTTTTTGTTTTTCATATGAATTCCATTTGCTGAAGTTTTTCCTACTGGCGCTGATAAACTCTATTTCTCCATATGGAATCTTTTGCCTCATAACTAATAAAATCTTGTATATATTCGACTGTTTCCTGGAATACTTCCCCCCTTCCTTTTTAGACCTTAGCACCCCTCGGGGCTGACTAAATAGGTATGTGAAAGAGTTTCTTAACTATAATTTTAATATTCTGACAAACACTCATCAATACAGTAACAGCTTGCTTGTTGGAATGACATCGATCAAATTTTGATGCTACCATTTTAAGATATTTTGTACTTTCTTGACTGGTTTTAATAATTATGATGTCACTTTTTGTGATAAATGTATTCATGACGTTATACTGTGAAGTGTGAACCATGACTGACTTGTTTGCTATAGTTGCTCTTATTACTAGCGGATTGAGGTTGTTGTACTCCTTTTCTCTTCTCGTTTGATAGTTTATCTTAACAGTTTCCACATCTAATGTTCTAAATTGAGAATGGTGTCAAAATGAATTTGCTGTGATATTTAAAACTTGGTGCTAGGTAAAAATTCCAAAATTTACACACCTTTATATTGTCTAGTGACTAATACACGTGATAAGTTGTTTAATTTATGCTTTTAAAAGCTATTTTGTCCTCTTGATTTTTCCAGCAAGCCATCCACTGCATCGTTCTTTTCTTCTCTTTGCAATTTTAGATTAAACATCTGAAGGACCTTCTATAGTTTTGCAGGTGGTGTTTTCTTGATCTTGATAGTAGCTCTGTAAATTATGATTGCTATAATCTCATAATGACTGCTGGTAAATCCGAAAATTTGAAAATGCTGGAACCCGGTAAACCTCCACCCACAAAAAAGGCCCGAAAAGAATCCCGTCGAGGAAAAGTGATTGCCAGTGCAAGGTCTTCAGAAAATATGGAACAGCGTATCTGGAAAGAATTTCCGGAAGATCTCTTTGAAGCTGTGGTAGCAAGACTTCCAATCGCTACCTTTTTCCGTTTTCGTTCAGTTTGCCAGAAGTGGAATTCACTGCTTAATTCCCAAAGTTTTTCTCAACAATGTGAGCAAGTTGGACAATCACAACCTTGGTTTTACACCATCACTCATGAAAATTTGAATACTGGAGCCATGTATGACCCGTCGTTGAAGAAATGGCACCACCCTACAGTTCCTGCCTTGCCAACAAAATCAATTTTGTTGCCAGTGGCATCAGCTGGGGGACTCGTTTGTTTACTTGATATTGGGCATACGAGCTTTTACGTATGCAACCCTCTTACGAAGTCCTTGAAAGAGTTGCCGGCCAGGTCAGTTAAGGTCTGGTCTCGTGTGGCTGTAGGGATGACTCTGAACAGGAAACCTGACGGTTTGGATTATAAGATCCTTTGGGTTGGTTGTGACGGTGAGTACGAAATCTACGACTCCGGAAAGAACTCCTGGGCATGTCCTGGAATCATGCCCTCGAACATTAAGCTCCCGTTGACACTGAACTTTAGGTCTCAGGCAGTTTCCGTTGATGGAACACTTTACTTCATGCGTTCCGACCCTGATGGGATAGTGTCCTACGATATGGTTTCCAGGGTATGGAAGCAATACATTATCCCGGCACCTCCACATCTGAACGATCAAACACTAGCAGAATGTGGAGGAAGGATCATGCTCGTGGGGCTACTCACCAAGAATGCTGCCACGTGCGTCTGCATATGGGAGCTACAAAAGATGACGCTTTTGTGGAAGGAGGTTGACAGAATGCCAAACATATGGTGCTTGGACTTTTACGGAAAGCACGTTAGAATGACTTGCCTGGGCAACAAAGGTTTGCTTATGCTATCTCTGAGATCGAGGCAAATGAATCGACTGGTTACATACGAGTTATCGACCGGTGAATGGGTCAAGGTACCCAGCTGCATGTTGCCAAATGGGAGAAAGAGGCAATGGATCGCATGCGGCACTGCATTTTACCCGTGTTTGACTGCTTCGGCTTAATTCAGGCAGCATTGGAATATTTGTGTTCATTTGCAGGTCTACTGGCAGCCCAATTTTCTTTGTGATGATATCCTTAGAAGCATGATATTAAAATAATTTCTCCTCTACAAACAAAATGCTGTTAAATTTATGATTTCTACAGATTATCTGAAGTAGTGTTTTCAGCTTATAGTTAGCTGCCCTTTTGTGTATAACTGTGTGCTCTATTCAGTAATGCAATTATGCAAATTGCAAATATTAGCGTTCGTCCGTGCATCTACTATGTTCATTCACCTGCTATTATGTCTAAACTTTGCGAACGAAGATAGTATTGATACTTGTTTCATGGAGACAAACTCCTCTAATAGCATTAGCCTTCGTCGGGACACTTAAAAAAAAATTTTACTCAGTAAATTTATAGATTCTCTCTAAATAATAGAATATATTTTTTTAAAATAGAGAGTTCCTTGAAAATGTTCTAAATTAAGTCTTGTTTGGTAAAAATTCTTAAAAATTCATTTTTTAAAAATTTATTTTCAATCACATTCTTCAATTAAATAATTTTGTGAGTGAATTTGTAACTTTTTTCTAACTTTTTAACTATATATTCTCTTAAAAAAAAGTATTCACTTTTCACAAAATTTATTTTTAATAAAAAAAATTGCCTAAATTGAAGACAAAGTGATCAGATTCCCTCTTTTGGTTTCTCTCATTCCAGTTCAGTTTGCTAGGCTGTTTTGTTTTCTCTCATTTTCATTTTGATTAATAACTTTATTTAAGTAAATAATTAAATTTTAAAATAAATAACCTTTCTATAATTTAAGGAATATATTTTGACGTTATCACAAAAGTTCTAAAAAAGTAGCATTCACATGAAATGTAACTTTCAAGTATTTTTTTTCCAAAAAATTTCTAATATGTCACAAACACTTAATCCAGTTATTATTAACATGATTGCACAAACATAAAAACCACAAAAAAAAAAATGCATGAAAAAATTGGAAAGATAAGTAGGAGAAATGTTATAATTATATCTGAAGTTGTTCACATTATGATTAAAAACATTCAGCTAGTAAAAAAATTCCTTGCATTTCTGAGTATTCGGGCTAAAGCATTACAACAAGATGCACACTGTTTTATCAAAAAAGCATCACGACAAGATTAAGCCACGCTTCCACTTGTTGCTGTCCTGATTATCTGAAACAAAGCTGGAAGAGAAAAGAAGAAGAATTCATTATTCGGTTCCGGTAAGGTTATTGTAAACTGCAGGCTCTTGATTTGCATAATCTGATAGATAGATCTCCTAATGATAACAAGCAAATACGCTAACAAACACTGATACTATTCAGACGACAATGCGGTTCCAAAACAAGCATGCCAACATACCAGGATCTCGACATAAGATATTGAACACAACTTTACATATTGGAATGAAGAATTGTGAGAAGATCTCGACATAAGATATTGAGCACGACTTTACATATTGGAATAAAGAATTGTGAGAAGATTGAATCTTACATGATCCAATGACGACAAATATGAAGAAGCCAAGCAAGATAGGGCCAACGGGATAGTTGTTTCCCTTCTTAGTGGTAGGGTCTGGGACAAGCCCTCGTTTGGTAATGTTTTTCTCAAACTTCTCCACCTTCCTGTCAGCAAGCCTCCTTGAAGTTGTCTGAAGGAAGTAAAAATATTACAGTCGATTAGTGAGTAAAATATTGCACAGCATGCTAAAGAACCAGCATTGATTAAGAGGTATCCAAAATTACACAAAACTTAGGAAAAACCCATAATAACACGCTCCAAAAACAGATAGAAGAAGCTGAAAGAGAACTCAGAATAAACCAAAATGCCAAATGCTCCAATAAATTTTGAAAAGTTTTTGAAACGTTAGGGCATGTTTGGCAGAGTTTTTGAAAAGTTAAAAGTTGCTTCTGAAACTAAAAAGTCACGTTTGAACATATTTTGACTAATTTTCTGAAAATGCTGTCTTGCTAGAGGAAATATAAGGTAGCTTCTTTGGAAAGCTCTTCTATAAGAAGCAAAAGTAAAAGGAATAACAGAACCTGCCAAACGGGCCATTATCGGACAATTATACCTTGAAAGATTCAAACATCAATTTCTTTTCTTCTATTGATTCACCCAATACAGAACTTCACTTTCAAAATAATCTAGAAATTTTCTTCCTATGCTTTTTTCCTTCTTTGAATAATGTTATCTAACACCAATGATTCTTTTCCTTTTCCCACATAAATAGTGCATCATATCAACATATAGGTACAAAAATTCATATTTTCTTTCAATTAACTAACATAATGCAGATCAATACTACATGTCACCGTGGTAACTCTGGAAACAAGCAAAAGATTCCATATGTTACGAATCAAAACTAATTCTTGTTAGCAATAGATCAATAAAATACTCAATGATCCAAAAGAAAATAAAGGAAAGAAACTGTTACCTTATAATTTGACCAGCATAATCTTCCCAAAATTTGTTTGTTTTTTATCAGCAATTTTGAACTTATTACTAGCATCTTACTTGGGTTGAAATTTTCACCGTCGCAATTGCTTTTCACACAAAACAACACCTCCAAACAAATTTCTAATTACGTAATAACATTTAGATTACATTTACACACCGAAGAATTTATGCAATTAACAATCAAGGCAGAACGCCACACGATCCACATTAAGATTGAAGATAACAAATTCAAAATCACGAGCAAAGTTCAAAAGAAAAAAAAAGCCATTTCATTCCAGATAAAATCACATAACAATACATAATTCAATAAAATTAATTAATATACAAATCAGAAGCATATTTAACAGAGACAACTAAAAATAAATATGAAAGGTCAAACGAGCAAAATTCTTACCATTGTAAAAGGGAGATCAGGAATCCGGCAACAATTGGAACAAAAAAAAACCGGAAAATTACAGGTGATAAGCTAATTCGAGACCAATCTAACTTATTTTCTCTCTTTTTTGCTTATTTTCCGACCGACTTATTATACGCTTGTTTAGAGATTTAAACATTTCAGAGGTATTTATAGATGAGATTACGAGAGAAAATAATAAAATACCCACAAATTACGCGTCATGGAATTCTTGTGATTGGATCAAATCAAACGCGCGTATCGTCACGTGTCGTTGTCTGATTGGATGATATAATGCACGTTAGCTCGACTGCAATTCTGTTTGTCTTCTTTTTATTCAATGCTCGGACTATATTTTCGTAATTATATTGTGTAAAATGTAAATATACTAATTTCACTCAAAATTTCTAAATGCAATTTTGAGTTGTATTTGGCCCTTTAGCCAATGATTCTCAATATCCTTTAGAAGATGTTTTCGGTGCTTTCTAAAAGGCGAAACCTCTTCAATTTATATAAGAGTCCGATAAATTTTACCCAGACTTAAAACTTATTTGGGAGGGATTAAAATCAGATTAAAATTGAAAATATAGTCGTTGGAGTCGACTTTTATTAGATGAGTGAAACCCAATAACGACTATATTTTCAATTTTAATTGAATTTTAACCCTTCCCAAACAAGCTCTTAGTATATTTTTAAAACGCTCCATGTCTCGAAATTCTATAATGATATTGGATTCTAGGTTGAGTAATCCACATGCTTTATTATTTGAATCATATCCACAAAGGCACCTTTTAGAATCAATTTTCAAGATAACTCCACACTTTAAGATATTTAATGTTGAATTTTCATCCTTGTTACAATTTATAAGGAATAACCTTTAATTTCCTTCGAGGGAATTCTATTACTAACATGACATTTAACAAGTAATGCTCCACCCCAACAAATTAAAAGGCAACTAGCATGCAATAACATAGTATTAATCATCTTAATCAATATCCTATTTTTCTTTACACCAAATCATTTTGTTCAGGTATTCTATGTGCAATACATTGATGCCGTATGTCATATTGTTCACAAAACACATTAAGGCTCTGTTTGAGCCACATTATTGTAGAATGAGAATGAAAAATATAGCCGTTATTAGGTCCCACGTAAGAGATAGAAAATTTGAATTTAAATGTTGATGTGATGGATGACGGTCATATTTTTCATTTTAATGAGAAAATAAGGTGGTCCAAATGATGGCTAAATTCATTAAAAAACTATTCACCACTTCTATATTGTTCACAAAACAAATTAAATTCATTAAAGAACTATTCACCACATCTATCACTTTTAAGAATTTTAATCTTAGTGAATTTTCTACTTCGCCTTTGTAAACCTTAAACGTGTTAAATGCTTCATCTTTATGTTATCATTTATAAACGTTATGAAATAATATGTTCTAGTTAGCATGCCGCTTAATTCACATACGTAGGAAAGAATTAATTCAAGAAAATTAGAACTTGTTTTGACTCTATCAAATTACTTATTAAATCATTTTAGTCTTAGTAAATAATCACATTATGATTATTAATATCACGAGAAATCATTCCACATTCAGTCCCTAATTAGTGGAGATTAAAATCAATTTTTTAATAAATTATAATAAAAACAGATGAAATATATGGTTGAAATGTTGTGGGATTGATAAAATATGTGATTAAAATTAATTATTTACTTTAACTTTTATAAAAAAATCTAAATTTTATTATTTCTATTAGCGGCATAATCATTCTATGCAAGATAGAAAAGTCTATGACATAAACTATCATGTAATAAAAAAGTGAGCTAATCACATGATAGGAATTAATAATTTTATTAGAATCATTGTCAATTGTACATAATTTGACCATTCTTTCGTAAAAATAGCTATTGTTCGGAGCCAAATTCACCGTCTATTTAAAAAGTTAGAATATAGAGCCTTTTGGAGTTTATTTTTACGTATTTTCTCTCTAAAATAGAGAATTGTAAATTATATATTTATTAGTAAATGATCATTATACCTCTACAACCTTATTTATAATGAATAATGTATTTTTTGTAGCCCTAAATCTTCACTATAATATGGGGTTTTGATTCTAAATAAAATATACACAAGTAT